TTATTCAAATATCTTCTCAATTGAAATGTTTAAGTGTTACAATTCAATGTTCAGACAAGAGTTATCTAGATGGTAGTCAATGGAAGAAATTAATATTAGAATATATACCTAATCTGAGCAGATTTATCTTTTTGTTATACTGATGTCATTAATGATGATTTTGAAATAAATCCATATCATGCTGTTAGTGTCAACAGATGACACTATGTCGACGCTAACTTAATTAAACGAAGTTCAATTGGTTTCTTCTTATTTTTTCATTTATCGGCGTCTTCCTTTTCATTCTGTAGTTAATTGGATTTTTCTCTCTCGTTCGTTCAATAGTAAGATTCCTCTTTTTCGTTCTGTCTATCTCTCTCTTTAGAATTTTTTCTGATTTTGATATCGTGCAGTTGTTATTTTGTTTTGGTGGAGAGCAGTAGCATTCAATACTACCTCTCTTGTGTGCGTTTTGATCTTCGTGAAATAAATCATCCATCTGAAAACGATCTCACATCCCCTCCTCAGCTGATCACGTATTTTTGAACATCAAGGTAAGTCCCCTTATATTCTACAATAACATCATAACATCAGCCTTTGACCTAACAGTTGGTGGAGAAGTTGGGCAAGTTTTTTTTAAAAAAATATCAAGGTCAACAAAATTCCTTTCTATCCTTTTCTCATTTTCTTTTCTCTCCTTTTCTTTTGCTCTTAAATATATATATATTTTTTCTCTTCCCTCTCTTCTTTCTTTATTTCTTGCTTAAATTTTCATCTGTCTTTTGTGTCGTAAAAGAGAAAATGTCTGACGATAAAATTACAAATGATTCACCTGAAAATAGAGAAACGTTAGAACAGTTATCATCCGATGTAACAAAGAAAGATATAACAGCTACAATGAAATATGATAGAAATCGTAGATTAACTATGAAACCTTCTAGTAATCGACATAAAAAATCTGATGATAATAAATCATCAGATGAGAGATCATCTTATGGTGGACCTGAAGATGAAGATGCATTTGATGGATTTATTTTAAATGATTTTAGTCCGTTCTCCGGAGATGAGAATTTGATTGAATGGTTAGATATAACTGATGACAAGTTCAATACTTTCAAAATTTCACGTAAACTTCGATGTCTTGGAATTCCTTTGCTTATCAAAGGAGATGCTAAACGAACATATATCAATAATAAGAATGAAATAAATACGTATGATGATTTGTGTACATTTCTATTGATGGAATATAAACCTATCAACCATAATTTTCAGCATACAAAGTCGCACTCTGATCCACTAACATTAAGTCAGAGTAATTTAATCCAGGATGCGTCAATACGAAAGAAGGATGTTTTCGATGAAAAACCAAACATGACTACTAGTACTTTTGAAGCAAATTTTAGTCTACCACAACCTCCAATTTTACGTTCAACTGCATTACTCGATCTAGGAGCCACCGGTTTATCCAGTGATGATCCTATTAATCGACCAAATGTTGCATCATCCCAGAATACATTTCTTAATTCTAGTATACTTGATAAAACAGCTTATGCACTTCGTCATGCAATCGTTGGTCGTCTTATTAAAAATCCAAAAACCTTTCGAAGTGGCAAGGATGATGTTAAACAGTGGATAGAAGAAATTGAACAGCTCTTCGACACAGCTCAAATTCCAGAAAATCATAACCTGGATTTGGTTCAATACTCCTTAAGAGGTGAAGCGTTACATTGGTTCAAAAATAATAAATCCACATTCATATCTTGGAAAACCTTTGTTAAAGGTTTAAAAGAAACTTTCCTTTCTCCTTTTTTTGAGGAAATAGCTTTTAAAAAGCTTGAAAAATATTCTCAAAGAGTGAATCAACCTGTTCGTAGTTTCTACAATGAAGTAATAAAACTTTGTAATGAGGCTGATTCATCAATGAGTGAATTTACTAAGTTAAGAAATCTTCTTCATAAAACTAAACCTACACTTCAACTAGAAATAAGAAAGAAAAAACCTACAACCACGAAACAATTTCTTGAGTATACGATGGAAGTGGAAGAATTATTTCATTTATCTAATATTTATATTTCTGATGTTCCTAATAAAACCAATCCACCTAGTCCAGTAACATCTATAGTAGCACCACCACGACCAAAAAATCCTCCAACACAATCTGATAAAACTACTCCACTAACAACTCATCCAGAAAATAATTGGGTGAATCCGCCAGGTTTCGACCACTTTTGTGGAAAAAAATTTTTTTCTTGATTTTGATGGTCTAGTTAGACGGAACGTCGTCGAAAACGGTCTGAGGTACTAATTAAAATCCTTTTGAGTATACGAAGTACAGAGATCCAGATCATTTTCCAGGAACAACTCAATACATGTGTACACACACGAAATGAGTTTCACATATATTTTTTTCAACGATTAAGCAAGCATTTATGTTCGTTGTTTCGACTCATACAAGTCAGGATATATCACTAACGAGTCGATTTGAATGTCTTTTAAATTGTCTAAGAGCGTTCAGTGCTGTATCTCTTAGGAAAACTATATTTGAAATAAAAAGGAGGACAATCTTGATGGATAAAAATAAGAATAGCTAATGAAGTTTGTGCAATATTATTTCGCTTTTTTTTCGATATGAGAATGCATTCTTTATGAATCTAATCTGCTACAATTTCACAGCTGAATATAGAGATTAGGTGTTTCTAATAAGATAAATTAACGGCTCTGCCGGATCGTACTAGGGTGTGGGTGTAGGGATGTGGGTGTGGGTGTGTGGGTGTGAGTGTGGGTATCGGTGTGGGTGTGGGGTGTGAGTGTGGGGGGTGGGTGTGGGGTGAGAGGTGTGGGTGTGGATGTGTAGGTGTGGTGTGAGGTGTGGGTGTGGGTATGGGTGTGGGTGGGTGGTGTGGGTGTGGTAGAGATGAAGATTGATACCCACACCCACACCACCCACCCATAACCACACCCACATCCACATCCACATCCATACCCACACCCACACCCACACCCACACCTACCCACATCCACATCCACATCCACACCCACCCACATCCACACCCACACCCACACCCATTGCGCGAAATTTTCATTGCCATGTAGAGAACATTTCAATCGATGATTTCGTTAAAAAAGAACTAATAGACATATTTTTGAACATATTTCTAACACTAATGGAATGACCAACAAAAAAAACAGACTGATTCTTCTGAGGAATACTAAGTAGAAAAGTGCTTTTTTTTTTCTTTGCTTTATAACTCATTTCAAATAAATCCAAACGAATACTATAATCTAGAAGTGTTTGTGAGTAAATATCCATGTATCTGCCGTATAATGAAGGAATAGAGATATGAAGATTTAGAGTAATACTCGTCTGATTGTAAGGAACTAAATGTTAAGATTTGAGAGTTTTTTTAATCTGCTATAAGGAAGAAACAGCGATTTTTCTGAGAGGGTGTAGATGGGAGTGGGTGTGGGTATGGGTATGGGTGAGGGTGTGGGGTGTAAAAAGAAAAGAAACACATCCACATCCACTCCCACACATCCACATCCATACCCACACACCCACACCGACACCCACACCCTTCTCTCTTCACATACTCATACTCACACCCACACTACGGAGGCCGTATACGATCTCCGTTTTGCTCCATATTACTCCATATACAGTCACGGAGATAAACGACCATAATACAATCACATGTAATACGCCAAAATACGGTCGTAAACGACCGTATTTTTCTCGTATACGACGGTATACGACTGTTTATGGAGTTTGTAACGTTCGGCCTGGTTCTTCTCGTCGTCGCAGTTTATATCTATTTACTTAATCTTCTTTGCATTGAAAAGGAGTCTTTGAGACAGCTGTCATCCAGTCATATCCGGAAGAAACAAAGAAATATATTTTACAATTTCTGAACTTTCTTCGCCCATATTTGTTGTGCATGTACATGACAGTAAATATCATACGTGAGTTTTATTCACCCACCATTCCATACATTCTCGGTAGCTATCCATAGTTTTTGAGAGGTATTCTGTCGCTCGAGAATAATCATTGAAATAATCATACATGAACCCCATGTTACGTAGTGTTATAGTTGTACTCCATTGGCTAGTTCGTGGCGCACGCTTATCGCAGGCGAGAGCACGATAGTGAAGTTCGAATGCCTTGTCATAGAAACCTAGCTCAGCATAGGCGAGACCTAGACAACGATAGCTTTGAGAAAGTTGCAGGTGAACAGATGGTAAGAGCTGCTGACGTATTGCAAGCGAAGACTCAAGTGACTGAATGGCTCTTCTGTTTTCACCACCCTTGTAACATAGAAAACCGAATACAGTCAAACAAAAGGCCAACTCAAGTTGATCAACATTGTTCCGTGTATAAAATTCAGGAATGTCTTCGCATTCTCTGTATAATGTTTTATAGTCATTTAAGTGCCAGCGTAAAATTGCGATGAGTTGTCGTACACGAATGAAGTCGATTGGTTTCGTTGCTATCCATGATATTGATGCTTGTGTGCTCGACAGGGAGTCATAAAGATCTTCCTCATACCGAAACCGTCGTCGTCTTTTCCTTCTCATCTTGGCTTGCTCTTCCGTGAATACATTGTAAACTATATAATGCTCGTTTGATGATTTTTCAATAGACGCATGCCCTTCACTGATGCTTCTTAGCTGGCAATGCCAAATTGCACAGGATGGATTATATCTGAGTGATTCGACGTGAAACCTGTTGCCAAAGCCGAAAAGAATCTCAAGTTCATCTGGAAATGCGCTCAAATGAGCAATGTCCGCAGCGTTGACGGTGGACGAGTTCATATCAACATGCAACTCGAGAAGCAATGCTTGCGATTGAGAGTTCTGGGATTGTGAAGCGCCAGCAAACATAAGCGCAATCTGCTTGCTTCGACTTGTCGACATAAAACCTTTAATCATGATAGAGCGACCAACAAAATTGCGCAACTGCCGCAGATGCTCCTTAGATTGCCTAAGACCGCGATACAAAATGCTCATTTCTGCCTGCGTCCTGTGTCTCTTTTGTTGTTGATGCTTAAGCTCGACAAGTTGCTTGTTTAAGTCAGCAATATAAAAGCGCAGCTTATGAATCTGTTCAATATCTCCCAAGCGAAGAGCGTTATTAATTATGCGATAGATGAAAGAGCCTTTGGTATACCAATAAGCAGAATCAATCGATCGGTATCTTTGTGAAAATTGGCAAATAGCTTTGAGATGCATGGTGTTGTTGATATAGTGCTGATAACATCGATCAAGCATGGTTGGCCTGGCTATCGCTTCGTCAGTGACGATTGTACGAACGATTTGTCGAAGTTGCTCGTAAGATTGTACAGTCGGTTGTAATAGTCGTTGAACCACAGTTATGTTTGACTTTGAACAATCTTCTTGCTCATGATCTAATGAAAAAATGATAATTACAATAGGATTTGTCAAAGTTTCATCAAATATTAATTAAATCTTACTAATGACAACGCCAGAAACATGATGTTTTGCACCATCACAAACAATATTTGTATCGTTGTCATGATCAGATAGATAGACTGACATTAATTTGTGGCAGATCTTACAGTAATATGTTTGTCGCGCACAGTTCTGGTACAAAAAACTTGTCAGCTTAGCCCTTTGCGGGACTAAAATATGGAAGTCACACAGCAGTGTTCGACTTGGGTCGGGTCGGGTCAAGAAAATTTTTTTTAACCTCGGGTCTGCTCGGGTCGGGTCGAGTCGGGTCAGATATATATTTTTCAGAAATAAAAATCCTGTTAATTTTTTCTTCATAAGTTCTGTCATATCACAATATACAAACAGATACAATAAAGTGGCATCGTTATGTAATCTTTTGTGTTATTTCATTATTTCCCATTCATTGATATCTCACAAGCATTCATAGTGAGCATAGAATATATTACAAGAGGGAAAAGCGAGGCTCCTAGAGTGCGTACTCTGTTTCTACTCCATCCGTAGTTTAGCTGTATTCCAGTTTTTTTTTGAGGTATAGTGATTCGCGCTTTTCTTGAATAACATAAAATAATTTTAAATAGAATGCTGAGCTGAACAAAACACAGCCTGCCAAAATGGAATACATATTGATGTAAATTCTAATTAATCCTAAAAGACATATTTACTAAAGCTTTACTTGTAATAATCTGGAAAAAATTGTCTTTGGGTTCGATCATGTTTTGAAAAAAATTCTTGACCTCGGGTCGGGTCAGATCATCGTTTGGTTCGGTCGGGTCGGGTCGGGCCACTGAAAAATTGACCTATGTCGAACACTGTCACACAGAACTCACATATCGTCTTTAGCTTCATGATATTGATACAAAATACATAAAGTGAGTAATATCTAACAGAAGATAGTTACTTTTGAACAATAATCGACTCTTAGAGAGACGAACTGTCTTATTAATTTCTGTATTTCGAACAAAATTTTTTCTTATATTTTTTTACTGGCGCTCTGTTTTTATTTGCTATGTTGCTATTTACTCATTATTTATTTTCTTTGTTTTATTTAGTTTTTTGTAATTTACTATAATTATTATTATTGCTCTAGCTATTAATTTGCCTAAAAAATGAGCCGGTTCTGCACATTCGTTATATCTATAGCAGGTCTCAATGCCCTATCACGTAACTCAAAAATCTTATACACACTGTTGGTGATTATTCTTGAAGCCAGAACTTGGTCAGTACATGTTTTCTATGCCAGTCATATGACGACTGCGGCAAATCGATACATTACCAGCTATCATCCTGGAAATATATCATATACTCGTTTATCTGCGCTAAAATCAAAACTACCCTATTTAAAACATTGAAAAACGTATGCAAGCCCTTTAAATATCAAGAACGACTTTGGAATGTTCTAGAGCAGTGTAGTCCTGTTTATTAAAGCTGTTCAGCGTCTTTTTCTGTCACCAAGGAACTATGAAAAAGAAGTCTGGTGCTTGTTGTCCTCGGTTACTATGGTAATATTTGAACCCCGTGAAATTTAATTTCTGAAATGGTTACTAAAACCTAGAAGAAGAAATAAGGAGCCATTGCACGATGGGAATGACCCAAAAGACAGACCATGTGCACAATCGATATCAACGATTCCAATGAAACTTTGCCTCACTCTAAAAAAACGTTTTCTCAGAAACTAGGGTGTGGATGTGGATGGGTGTGGGTGGATGTGGGTGGGGGTGGGTGTGGGTGTGGGTGTGGGTGTGGTGTAGGTCTGGGTGTGGATGTGGGTGTGTGGGTGTGGGTGTGGGTGGGAGTTCTCTATCAATACACCCACACCCACACCCACACACCCACATCCACACCCAGACCTACACCACACCCACACCCACACC